TGGTATAGGGTAGCTTATGCTTTTATTTTTATACTAATTGTATTTGTTGTATGTCTGACTAGTCCGATAAGTTTTAGGGAGGCAAGTTTATATGCTGTATCTTGTAAAACTTCAGTGATGAATAAACATATCTATCTATGTATAAGTTTGAAAATAACCGTATAGGATGAACCTGCAGTAACGTTAGTTACAAATAAAAGTGGTAAAAAACAGAAAAAATGAAGGAAGCCATTTCAAAATAAAGTACTTTTGAAACAACTACTCTTATGTGAACATTAAATTATTCAAAAAACACACGTTTATACAAAAAAAAACTGGGAATCTTCCCAGTGGCGGCGCACGAGACATAAAGTCCATGATCATCATTAAACAAATTAGTGACATTATGCCTCTGGTTTCCAGAGTGGCACAGTTATACCCTCGAGTATTATTATTATTATTTTTTTCACAGTGGTGTGCGCTGGTCAGGCCCTATCCCTCGAAGCCCCGATATATTCGGGAGGGCGCGCCAGCATTATCAACCAATGACCTCTCCCCACACCGTGGGGTAAATGATCATTGGATCCCAGAATCATGTGCCCTGAGCAAGCACAGTGAGCCAAGAATGACAGCCTTCTGCATCTGTGCGGCTAAGATTTCAGCCTTAATGCGGCAGGCCGGTATTATTTTAAGATTCGAGAGTAGAGGACCGCCAAGGGACTCCAATAATCAGAACAACCATCTTGACAGATTGATCTGGATAGAGTCTGCGGAGTTTGATATTTTATCCGTTTTTCCTCCTCTTTTCTGACGATATTCGTCTCGCCAGGAGCTGAAAACTCCACGACAAATATCGTTTTGCTCTGGTGGTCGAGAAGGGCCACATCAGGCTTATTAGCTTGTATGAGTCTGAGAGTGGAGAACGAATAGTTCCAATAAATTCGGCAACGGATTCAATATCCCCCGGAGCGTAGGGCAACACCGGTGTCTCGTCAATACCGTAAGAGTGTCGTATATGGTAATATATCACTCTTAGGGCCGCGTTATGTCGATGGATATAGGCTGAGACCGCATATGCTGATAGCAAGTGCACTTGGGTCTCGGGCGCCTCGCGGCAAGCCCTGCACCTTGTGTCAGGAACCTCTATACCCATCACGCGACTGCGGTAAACTAAGGTGTTGTAGACACCACCTTGGCAAGCAATTATGTGCATTTCACGATGAATAAAATTAATGTTAATGTTAATTAAAATGAACGACAGCAAATTTTCTGTTTTTTGTTAAATAAAACATTCAACATTCAATTTCTCAATATCGAATGAACCAATTTCGAAAAAAGTTACAAAGGTAATAGAGGGACAAAAGACCTTTCAAATGATGTATCACTTGACCCCCATGCCATTGAAAAGAAATAGGGGGGGGTAGTTGCTAACCGCAGGAGGGTGAAGTTTCGGGTATGTTTTCCATATCAGAATCAGTTCCCTTAGAAATAAAAATTGACTTGTCCATACCACTGCATTGCTGACTTTTTTTAATGAAACATTTTATATCGGATTCAATTCTAATGCTCAAGTCATCTTGTGTTAGTGTAATTACCCTGGTCTGGCATTTTATATTATATACCTTCATTCATTATTTTCTGACTAATTCGTGTTTTGTCATATGTCTCCTTTTACAGTATTTAGGTTTATATTTTATGTCTGATGCGTTTTTTTGTGTCTATTTTTCAAACTATTAACATAAGATACACTTTGTTAATGAGAATGTTTGTTCTTAAGATAATGAATATTTCACTCTCTCGCTATTTATACGTCTATTTATATGTCTCGCTGATAAATGACAGTTAATTCGAAGCAAAACATAGTCATTAGATTATTTAAAGTAACTATCCCCTGCGAATTCCCCCTAAGGCCTGACAAACTATGGAGAATGTGTCATCAGGGTTCTCTACCACTATTAAAAAGTTTTCAAAGCAGAATGCAGTACTATTTCATACATAAAAATTTCACAGTTCGTTTCAACCTCTTGATATATGGTCTTCGAACGGATATTTGAATTATAATCTGTTTGAAAAAGTGGAAATTAGGATATCATAATTTTTTTTGTCGTGTGTATATGTAAATGTGAATAACTTCACGTAGGTTGTTGATGCTGTTTCAGAATTTGTCTAATACCGTCTCCACTTTGCAATTATATATTCATTTTATCCATTCTTCAATTACCAAAACCCTAACTATTTGAGAACTCGACTGAAGGTTAATTCATGTGCCAGTCATAAGTCCTGAGTGGTAAGTTTTAAGTCATGAGAATTTATGTTTTGCATTTGGTTTAACTAAAAACTCCACACTCGTGCATGAATATTGCCATTGAAAATGAATGATTCAATAGATTTCAACTTATTATTCATGTGATAAGTTAAATCGGTCCCTGACGTAAAATGAATCTACTGAAAACCATTCCCACCAGAACAAAGCACTGTCTCCCAAAGATTATTTTGCTAACTGATGTTGAAAAGTATTTTCAATTTACTATTCACGACCTGTGTCTTATGACTTTAGAGTGGTGTGTGAATCAACCTTGAAATCTGATTTATCTGTCTACTTAAATGCTTCCCAAACAATTATTGAAAAAACTCAGACTTGACTCCTTGATTTCTCTATATGGAGAACTATTATATCCATACTTTGTCTAACCCTTGAATTAACCAAAGGAACCGTTTTTGCCAATCTCGAAGCAATGAGATTACATTTATTAGGTTATTATAGTTAAATGGTTGTGTAGTGAGTGAATAAATATTTATCTCTTAATCATCTCAGGTGACTAATATTTGGTAAGTATACTTCAAAGTTGAAGTAAAAAATATTTGATTTCCGAACACTCGCTGAACAACATCATTATTATCATCATTAACAGTATTAACACTTACGAATTTGATAGCATAAATTTCGGCCAGAGATTCGTTCAGCAAAAGAGAGAGGATAATTCCTAGTAGGCACTTCTTGATCATAGTTGAGCTTTTTACAGACTTCTTCACATTGCCGCGTTTGAAAATTCAGAGATATCGTTAAATGGAAACAAGATGTGCAACTAATTTTTTTTATATTTTCAGAAATAGAATGTCAACATATCATAATAAACAATCTTTAATCTTTGATCTACAAAAATAATCATGACTGTTGACAACACTGTCGATAGTGTCACATACATTGTCCACAGAACAATAAAAGTTTTTGCAATCTATGCAATTGTCAGGAATTTGATTAGATTCGCCATTCTGTTCTTTGCCATTTTTTTTGTTGTATGTAATCTTTGAATACTTGACCACTGAGACCATTGACTCTCAGAAGATTCTTCAAATATTCAATAGTCTTTGGTATAGAGACACTTGGAAACAACGAGTATACATCAAATAATACTGAAATATCTTCATCTCGCTACTTTACAACTTCCATTTCATCTATGAATGCAAGTGAATTAACAAAACTTAAACGCAATCGTAAGATTGAGAGAGTTTTAAACTGTTTGGTGAGGCATTCATTAATTTTATCAGTATGAGAACTTATGACGGAAACAATTGGTAGCACCGACTTGACATAATTGTGAATTTTTAATAGTAACTTTCAACAGTAACATATTTCAGTAACTGTAAAACTCCTGTTCATTGTCGGTGCGATTGAATTTTGACACCTCATGAATGTTTTTTTCACTTTTTAAACCATCATAAGCAATTGGTTTCTTTGTAATGTATTAGGTTATTTTTGAAGTTTCACCTGTTTCGATATCATGTGTTTTTGTAACTCCATATTTCAATAAATCGTAGTATATTCTGATCAATATAGAATTTTGATGTTATTTTTTTCCAAATTTCAGTTTTTGGCGTGTTTTCCACTTATTACTATAATCGAATTCAAATTAAACCAAAGCGCAGCCGAAACAGCTCCAAAAATCTACCAGGCATTTGGCAATGATAGTATTAATGAATGCACTATTCGACATTGGTTTGCGAAATTTTGTTCTTGTCTAACCTTGGCGAAATATTTCGGCCCTGTTATTTTCAATAAATTCATGCTTCCATTCATGCATTTTTCATTCTCATAGATTTTAAAAATGGTAACAACTTATAACATTCATAACCATTAGTGTTAAGACACATAAGAAGTAAGCTCTGACTGGGCTGCAGTACCGTAGAAATTATAATAGAGTAAGTATTATATATATAGTATATACCTGTGTGCAGTATTTGTCACAATACAGTACATGTCACTTTATATATTCCGTCCTAGTATCGCTAGTCATAAACCTTCCTTTCTCAAAGGATTTCTCGATTCCTCGTCGCATGATTCAAATACGTTCACTTCATTCATATGTAAATAACAAAAGAACCACGAAAACTGATCTCACTTCAGCGCTCTCTCGCGGCAAAAATTTCCATAGTTGCCCTTATTCCGCATTCTATTGCAGGGTCCCCTACTTAAGGGTTTTCCCCCAAATTTAGAGGAAAAAAGTGGGATGAGATTTTTTTAGGGATATTTTCAAGGATTTTTATAACTTCAGTTTTTCATGGTACGATTCACATTGCAACGGAACGGTGGATCCTGCATAACATTTCAATCGTTCGCAACAATGTTATTCAATGTTAACATATATGACTCTAAAAGTCAGAATCTGAAGAAAACGATTTGTTATTTGAAGTTTTACATAATTTATGAATGAATAATATTGAAAAATGTTGTTGAATGATATTATTTATTGATTGTTCTCAATTTATTATTTGGTTAATGATATTTCATCATTTATCAATTATTTTTAATGTATTGTAAAAATATTTAATTATTTATTCCATGAAAAATATTTTTTAAGGGGAATTCCTAGTAATTGTGCGGATTTTAGAGGTTTTTGATTGAGGCTTTAGGGAGATAAATTTTCAAGAGATGGAAACACTGTAGTATTGGAGCAACACGAGCTTTGAGATTCAGTCTCTGCATGACGTATCTTTAACCTCAATTTTTAAAAATGACATAATTGATAAAAAATGAATAACAATATTGGGAGCTTCAAAAAAGTCAAAATCGATTTACAGATGCCTGTTTAACAAAATGAGTCAAGTAGTTTTGAGAATCAAGCATATTGCTATCATTATAGTTTCCGTCATTGTTGGTAAATTGTCAGAGAAACTCCTAGAAATGTTATTACAAGTTTGTTGGTTTTAGTAATATATGTGTTGGTCAGAATTCTTCATGATGATCATATTCATCATTTCAAGGACTATAAACGAAATGTTGAAGATGAATTAAATCTTCCAGTTGATATCAAACTCGCAACTTCTTTATTAAATGATGCACACCGAAAAATAGAAGCTTTAGAAGAAAAAATATTGTCGCTAGAATCAAGAGTTCCAAAGACTTACCAAGATGTTAAATTTTTAAACTACCTTAATAGAAAGCGAATTCTAGTAGGACTGAAAAAAATGTTCTTTCTCTATAACTATTAATGGAAAGTTTTAGGTAACAGGAGGAGCAGGATTTGTAGGGTCCCATCTAGTAGATAAATTGATGCTGGAGGGACATGAAGTCATTGTAGCTGATAATTTTCATACTGGAAGGAAGAGTAATGTTGAGCAGTGGGTGGGACATGAAAACTTTGAACTCATCCATCACGACATAGTGTATCCAATATATATTGAGGTTGATGAAATATATCATCTTGCTAGTCCAGCAAGTCCTCCACATTATATGCACAATCCTGTAAAAACAATCAAGACCAATACATTAGGCACTATCAATGTTTTAGGTGAGTCTAACTAAAAAAAATATATAATAATTCACTAAAATACTTTTCCAAACTATAATAGGGTCTATCAACAAGTAGGTTCGTCACCGCCTTTTTGAAATTAACTGTTGCTTAGATTTGCCGATCTCATTTCTAATGGTAAATGATTGAACAATTTACCACCATTGTAGTATATGGAATCCTTGATTAAATTCGAAGTTGGGATGGGAAGCCTAAAGGTATAATTGCTATTATGAGTAGCATAAGGAGTAGAGGCAAAGTTGAACTTCGATTTATGTTTATAAATAAAGCAAACCTTCTCTAGGATAAAAGGTGTGATGACTGTTGAAATTTTATTGGAGGTGAACAAGTTCCTGCACCAATTTTCTGGGTTTGACTTTACAGAGATATCTTAATGCCCTCTTCTGTAATATCAATACAGAAAAGATAAGTGATGAGTTGCATGCTCCTCAAAAAGGTATTCCATAAGTGTATGGTAAACGGTCTTTAGGATATGGGAACCCAACTCATTTGAAACCACTCTAACTGCATAACATCCGGAGGAGATCTTACTCTTGAGTTGTTTAAGATGTTCATAAAATTTCAGCCTATTATCAATGAATACACCGAGAAATTTTGTGTTTAATTTATTTTGTAATGTGGCAGCGTATATTGGAATTCCATCAAGCGAACATTTGAATGATATTATATTCGTTTTGGATGCATTTAGAGATTTGCATCGCACCAGTTCTTCACCTTCTTCAAGTCGGATGATATTATTTTATTTAACATCACTGAGTTTTTTCATACCACAATATTGTGGTATTATTTGCGAATAAAGTGAAACTACCAGATATGTCAATCGTGGAGATGTTATTCATATACAGCGGAAACAGTATAGGGCCTAGCGCAGAACCCTATCGACCTCACCATTTGACTCTGTCCTGAAAGGTATGATTCGACATGTGTTAGTAATCATAATTTGCCCCACTCTGTATTTTCGCATATCAAATTGCAATTGCAATCATTCACAGGATTTCTACCCAATATAGGATATGAATGAGGTGAAATTTCACTTACATGGGACACTGTCATCCTCAATGACTGACATCCGATGTTTTGAATTGAGACACTTGCCTTATCAACTTTTCAGCACCAAAATGGATAACATTACAAGATGAAACACTCAACTCGCTCATAAAATTACCACTTTATGTCATGAATGAGTTAAACATACTCATGGCATCGATGACAGTACCATTTTTAACATGCTTTTATTAGCTTCAGTTTGTTTGTAACTCTCCTTTTTGTTTCATATATATTCCTGTTTGAATGCTCGGGATCTGTATTTGACAGAATTATCGATATTATTGCTTGATCTATTCGCGGGCAGATAGCACTGTACATAACCTGCTTGATCTATTCGCGGGCAGATAGCGCTGTACATAACCTCCTTGATATAATTCGAACTCACTTTACATGTATTTCTTCATTTGAAAAAAGTGTTTTTATTTGATTAACGCGCGCCTGCTTCCTTATTTGTAACTCTCCTTTGCGCGCCTGCTGCCTTGGGCTTGGTAGCTGATTTTCAGGCTCGCTCTCCGGAATAGGAAAATATCAGTGGTCATTTTTCTAAACAATATACGGCTGATTGATCCCAAAGTTTAGATAAAATAAATTTAGTTTGAAAAGACTAAAAAACACGCTTTTATATCATACGAAACTAAAAAATGAAAAATAAATATAGTTTAAAAAACTAAAAAACACGCTTATAAAGTTGAAAATATTTTTTTCAAATAAGCTTAAAACAATAACGAACAACGACAGCACACTTGTCTCGTCATTCCAAAATATTATGGCATAACGGATGCACTGATGCAATGGTTCAAAAGTTATCTATTCGAAAGATTCCAGTTTACTAAAAGCAAACAACGTTTTATCAAATGAAAGGACAGTTAATATCGGAGTCCTGTGTACTAGGTCCTTTTTCATTTATATTACATTTGAATGGCCATCGGTTATATTCCTGATTGTGACGATAGTTAATTTGTTGGTCAAACTGGCTTAAATTGAAAAGGGTATATTTTTAGCAGAGAATACTTTTTGTGAAAGAAGGTTTTGGCTTTTTATTTCTCTATCTTGATACAAACAAATGTGGGAATCTTCCAAAGAAAAGAAGGAAGTTAACTGATGGATGTAGCCGTTACTACGTGGTAGGAAATCATAATGAAGAAAAGAGAACTGAAACTTTCTATGTTTTTTACCACTTTTATTTGTAACTAAAGCACGGCGCGGCGACATTGCGCTTAGTTTAAAACTGAACGCGTAACCAACGTCCAGCGGTTGGGTTAGTAGAGACAACAAAAATAATATTATGGCAAGCAGTTGTAAGAAGGTAAAGACATACCACTTTCATTCGGAATGGGAAGAACAATACTTTTTTACAGAAGTTAAAGATAAAAATGTGTGTTTGTTATGTAATACTTCGGTCTCCGTCCTTAATGGGTTAAATTCTACGTAAAAAAGTGCTTTGGAAATGTTTTCATAGAAACAAGACGTTTTTGCCAGGAAAAAAGTTACAGCAACTCAGAAACGACGACAGATATCGATAAGAGGTTTTCACCATTGAGTTTTTCATAAAATTTGGTCCAAAGACACAGTCATCAGTTTTCATATATCTAGTTTGAAAACAGGTAGGTAATCCAATTAAGAGTAACTAATCGACGACCATATATGATAATATAAAACCAGAGAACAACTCGAGCACTTCGATCGTTACCTCATTATCTTTGATAATATCTACCACAGTATTAGACGAAACGTCAGGCATATACACTTGCAGACCACAGCCAAAAAACTCGGAAAATAGCTTTAGCACAAAAAACTGAGATACAACTAAAAATCATTCTATTCAATACTCCACATTACCTCATGGCAAGTTACTTTCGAGAATTAAGATAATAAATAAAGTACATACCTCCATTTGATAACTTTGGTCCAAACTCGGAAGCAGCATCGGCAAATTCTTCGAAGTAAAATTGAGACTCCTACAAATCAATAAAAATATGCACAATAAATTAGTGGTACAATTCTGACATCAATTATTCTACAAATTTCAAAAGGTGGTTCAATATTTTCCAATTCATAAATTCAAGACAAAATAAACTCAGAGCTCAGATTGATTAAAGCATGATTGAAAGTGTCGGTCGGTAGCCAAGCGGTTCGGCGTGGGTGATTTGTTCACTCACTCGAATTGACTGCCGTGTTGGTCGGTGGTTCAAGCCCTAGTCTGAACGATCGATCTTCACTTGCTATCGTCCAACCCGTGTTAGGAATCACACGTTAAAAGGTAAGACCTCGTTAATCCTTAGCTCGCACAAGTTT